TTAGAACTTTGAAGTGACTTATGTTCTGGTGTGTCTGTCTCCCATGTTTAACGTGGTTTTTTCCCTGACAGTAGTAAAGAGAGCAAAGGTAGTTAAGACTGATGGGGTGGAACTGCCAGCAGGCCACATAGCAGATAAGCAGACCAGGTACTAGTACCTTGGTGTCCCACAGTCACATGGGAACCACGATGAGGAGGCAAAGAAGACAGCAACATCCAAGTAACACCAAAGGATAAGACTGGTCCTAAAGAGCCAGCTCAGTGGGAAGAAAAAGATCCATGCCATCAACACATATGCCTTGCCAGTCATCAGATATCCTGCTGGTATAGTGAGCTGACCAAGGAGGACATGGAAGCTTCTGATGTGAAGATCCAGAAGTTCCTCACAATGTACAGAGGTTTCCATCCCAAGTCTAACACTCAGAGACTGTATACCAGCTGGAAGGAGGGCCGGCAGGGTCTAGTGAGTGTCAAAGCCACTGTCCTGGACAAAACCCAGAGCATCTAGGAGTACATTAGTAAGATGGCACCCAAAGATTAGCTGCCAAGAGAATACCTGAGGCAGCAGCAGACATGGGAGAAAGTTCAAGCAGAGGAAGTGCCATGGCAAGAGAAGCCCCTGCATGAGATGTACCATTGACATCTACCATGAGATGGTTGACATTGGGAAATCCTACCATGGCTGGAAAGGGCTGGACTAAAAGACAGCACTGAGGCACTGATCATAGCAGCACAAGAACAGGCACTAAGCACCAGATCCATAGAAGCAGGGATTTACCACACTAGACAGGATCCAAGGTACAGGCTGTGCAGAGAGGCCTCAGAGACAGTCCAACACATAGTGGCAAGGTGTAAGATGCAGGCAAGGACAGCATACACTGAACAACAAAACCAGATTGCTGGCATTAAGTACAAGAACATCTGCACAATGTACGGGCTAGACTCTCCCAAGTCCAGATGGGAGATTCCACAGAAGATTGTGGAGAATAACAGGGCTAAGATCCTGTGGGACTTCCAGATCCAGATGGACAGGAAGCTACTGGCCAGTCAACCAGACATGGTGTTAGTAGACAAGGACCAGAAGACAGCGGTGGCAATAGATGTAATGGTGCCAAGTGATGGCAACATCAGGGAGAAGGAGTATGAGAAGCTGGAGAAGTACCAGCGCCTGAAGGAGGAACTAGTGAGGATGTGGAAAGTAAAGGCCAAAGTGGTCCCAGTGGTGATAGGAGGACTTGGGGCTGTGACACCTAAGCTGGGGGAGCTGCTCCAACAGATCCCAGGAACAACATCAGAGCTCTCTGTCCAGAAGAGTGCAGTGCTAGGAACAGCTAAGGTACTGTGC